AGAGCACACTAAACTTCATCACCAATTTATACATTCCTTCTCTGTTTTTGCTGCTTGTTTACCACGGGACAGCTTGTCCTGGTACAAGTTAATTCAGTTTCATGTCCCTGGCCCTGCCAGCATGGTCTGCTCTCTCTTTTTGGTAAATCAACTTCAAAGCTGGTCTTGCAGAACTAGGGAAGAGACCTTTCTGAATGTATTAAGTGCAGAAAACAGTCGAGAATGTTCCTAAACATGCAAGAAATGCTTCATTTCTTGTCCACAGTGGGTAAGCAAGCAGTCTGACCATGTCCTTTGAAGCTGAAAGCTGCAGGGACATCCTGCAGCATGGACACAGGCACAGCTCCGGGATCAGGCACCAGGTGAGGAGCTCTGCCTCATCCTGCCCAAGAGTGTGCAAGCACAGGTGTGAGCACATGAGGGTCCTTGTTCTGTTTTGATTCACTTTCAAGGAAGTTCTCCCAGCCTCTGAGCCAGGAGGAGCTACTTGCCTTCACGCATTTTTCTGCCTTGCTTTCATGCTACTGAGCAGCTGCTCCGAGCTCAGCCTTCCCAATCCTGCCTTGATCCGAGAGGCTCAAATGAGAACTATCCTCTGCCTCCAGCCTTCCTCTTCTGATCCTCTCCCTGCTCATATTTTATTAGTTTGATTTGACTTCACTGCCATTGCCAACCACAGAGCACTTAGCAGGATGCTGAGCCACGGGCTTGGCTTGGGGCGGGCGGGATTGGGATGGTGCAGAGCTGCACTGCCTCCAAGGAAGCCTCTGGAGAACACTTGGCTGGTAGAAAAACCTGCAATTACAGGTTTTAAGATGCAAAGTGAATGCACGCAACTTTTCTGCTTAAGCAATAAAAGATCCCATATCCAACAGATATGCTTATCATAGTTGTGGAAATAGAGATATCTCTTTTATTGGCTGCTGTTTAGTGCAGGGCTCATAAACTAATAAACTCATAAATTAATTGAAGGCAGTGTTACGGAAAACAATCTGCCCACAAAGACTCCTTTTAACCAGCAGTTGTCATGTTTGTTGTGATCTCAAAGAAATAAGTTTTAAGTTATTGTCTTTTCTAGACAAACTAGCAAATAAACATGAAAACAAACAATAAAAATGAAATACTTGGAACAAAATGCTTTTGTGCATGTACTCTTTTCCAGGTTAGAACTGTATTTAGAAACAATTCTTAGTAGCGTTCTTTCTTTTTAACCCAATAAAGACAGGACATTTGAGGGTCTTACTGACAGTGAGGGGTCAGAAGACCATAATCTTCTTTCTCATATCTGATACTGCACAAGAAGTATCCCCAGGTAATCAATAGGTCTGTCCATATTAATAAATAAAATGAACCTCAGCCTGTGGTGTAGCCACAGGGCAGAGGCACAACGTATCCAAGCAGATACACACTGCTGTCCCCAAGAAGGGAGGCAATACTTGTACTGAGAATGGACTCTGACTCTTGCTATCCCTGAAGCCATGCTCCATGTTTGGGAAGATGAACAGATAAAAATCACACCTGGGAACACACTTGTGAGTTAACAGCTTTGTGCAAGTCTGTGCTCCTTGTAACCTTGCCTGCTCTACATGGCAGGAGCTCAATCCAGACCCCACGCACAGGAACGTTGCTCTGTGCCTGTGGCAGGGTGAGCACGAGTGGTCTTGCTCCATGACTTATCCCAAAAGTCTCCATCCAGACTCCATTCATCCAGCTCTGATTTCCTGCTCTGCCACGCTCTGTCTGCATGACCTTGGGCAAGTCCCTTTCTGGCTGGGCTGCAGACTGCAGCGTGGTGGAGCAGTAGCTGTAACTGCACTGACCACGGTCCCGATAGCGATGGCAGTAGGGATAAAGCTTGTTTCACCTAGCAACTCAGAAAAACAAACTACAGTGATCCCTACATTGCCAGAGAGCATTTTGAATGCATTTTAAGCATTTAGAACAATGCTGCAATCTGCATAGTGCAAGTAAGTGCCATCTCTCTGCTCCTCCTCTGTCAAATGGGGAGACCAAGACTTCCCTCCTTACCGAAGGGCAGTGAAAACAGATGTACTCAAGGCTCTAATCTCTTCCAGCTCTGAATAATGAGTAATCGTTACCTTACACAGACAGATTGTCTTAGAAAAGGACAAGCAGTTTTGTTAGACTCTATGGCCCCTCCAGCCCTTTTGAAATCAGAGCAGTTTGCTGAAATTTGGCGCACAGAACGCGAAAGATATGGGAAGAGCTCACCCACAGCTAACCTCCAGACCACCTTACCTAACTGGGAGACAAGAAGAGAGACAAAGTGAGAGCTGCTCATGAGATTTGAGGGGAGGGAAAACTACAAGAGGTCTTTGCAGGTCCCAGGTTGAGCAGGAAAGGAGATTGGAGAGGCTCAAGATTGTCATTATGGTTCCCAAAAAAGTACAGGTCAACACTTGCCCTTTGTCAGCTGCAGACTAACACAGCTGGGGCACCTTCATGGCTTGTAAACCCAAAGTACTGTTCTTAGAAGAATTTTCTTCAAGCTACGGTCATTCTTAAAGGAAGATGAGAAACTCTACTGGTATTAACCAAGCACCAAGTCATTGGAGAAAGTGAGGCAACCTTAGAAGACCCTGATGGGTCCCTATCGGCTACAGGGAAGTTTAGCTGAGAAAGCTCCCAAGGACATGGACCAGTCATGTGGTGAGCACTGGTCCACACCATGTATGGCTGGCAGCCTTGGCTGTCTGGTTTGCACTCCCATTAGGTCCTGCCACAACTGCTCTCTCGTGTCACGACCCAAGTGAAAAGAAATAGAAACCTCATAGCTATGATCACAGGAGTGGTTCCCTTTGGTGAACATCCAGACACTGATCTGCTCTTGTGGTGTCCCATCCAAGATACTCACAGTTAAATACACTGGGACAACCCTGGAGCATGTGGCACAGACCTGGGCTTCCACAGCTTTTTGTTCAGAGGTCAGACAGGGAAGCCAATAAATAAAGCCAGGAGCCCCTACTAAACTGCGCTTTTGGCCATTCCTTGTGCTACCAGAAAAAGAAAACCCCTCTTTCCTAGCAGTAACAGAGACCCTTTTCCTTACACAGATGCAGGTTGCCATTTTTAGCTTTTCTCTGAAGTACAGCCACAGCTTTTGGTGGCCCTACATCCCTCTGCTGAGAAGTGGCTGGAAGGCGCCCAGCTTTGTCCCATGTTAAAACCAGACACGTAAGGGCATCTGTTCACCTGGATGATGATACACAACAACTAATGGGGGATTGGAGGTGCTGGGCTAATATTTGGCATAGCTTAGAACCATGTTTTGAGAAAAACTTTGTGTGTATGAATTATCTCCCAGCCACTGTTAGTCCATTACATCTCCAATCCCAGACAACTTCTTTTCACTTTATCTTTACAAAAAAAAAAAGTAGAAATGGTCAAAAAACACATTGTAAATGACCCCATCCTGATTGCGACAGGCTCAGCTGAGGTATTTAGATGTGGAAATTAATCTGGACTGAGGGAATAGAATCACCATCTCTGTATGAGGACGGGTGATAACGATGTTAATCTAGATTATTGGTGTCTCCACTGAATTAGTTTAATTTCAATTTTAAAAATAAGCAAAATAGAAAGAAAACACTTTTATTTTGTGTTATAGCAGGATTGTCTTCATAATGAATTAAACAGCAACAATTATTCAGGAGTATTTAGTCCAGAGTCACTCGTAGTGTTCCCAAGCAGTGCTTGCACTCAGGACTTTCCAACAGCACCAAGGACACCTTTCCATCTCCACCAGCTCAAACAGCCACAACTCTGCATGAGACAATTACTGTCACATCTACAGCAATGGGACCAAATCCCATGTGTCCCACTTGGCCTTTTTGCTGAAGGAAAAAGACCAGTAAAATCAATCAGTATTTCTGCTCTAGTTTTTTGGGCAGCGACTGGCTTTACTTTTTTTCCCTGGTAAATAAACAGTAACAGAAGATAACTTCAGGACCTGGCCGGTAATTGCAACAGCACTCATCTCTGAGGGGCAACAAGAAGGGCTGTATTCTTTTCCCTATGACCTGAGTTCTGAGGGACCAGCAACCCAGGGATTCTGTTCAACTCTGTTAAGTAATCCCTGCCTCTGGTGCAATGCCTGGGGAGCATGCAGATATGTCACAATTTGCAGAAACTTCTTCTACCATCCACCTGCAAACTTTCTGCCTTATTTACTCACAGCAGGTTAGTGAGGCAGACTGCTCCTTGCGAGAGGGAGAAGGGTGCAGGGGAATATTCCTGAGATACTTGTGCCAAAATGTTTATTTTTTTAATTGGAAGGGCTGAAGCTTCTGTCCCCTTTTACCTTGTTTCGCCTTCACTGGAAGCCTCTAGCTGATGGGATCTGTCCCAAAACTCCAGCCCATCTATCAGCACCAGAGCTAATTATTTTCATACTGAGAGGAAAAAAAAAAAAAAAAAAAAATCCACCTCCCGTCCCCTTCTATGCATGCAGGTAAAGAAAAAGCAGGCAAAACACCTGAAATCACTCCTCACCCAAACCTCCTGCTTCTCCTATGGCACTCGCAGGGTCAGGGAGATACAGCAGCTCATCGTGCCTTAGAGGAAAGCCTTTTTCTGGCCATACCAAAGATCAGTTACCCTACCACGTCACTGGGGCTGGAATAGGTGACAGCAAAACCCCAGTGAGACCCCAGCGAGACCCCAGCTCTCCTCCCCACATCCGGTTCCGACCTCCTGTCCCCCTTCCCGATGCATTAACCCCTCGAGGCACAGCAAGGTCTCCCGGTCTCCAGGCTGCTCTCTGCTCGCTGCTCCTCCTGGCTCAGCACCGTGCGTCCCCCCACCCTCCCTCCTCGCACAGAACAATAGCAAGGCACCAGCTTCAGTTGTTTCCCGAGGAAAGCTCAGATCACACACATTTAGACAGAAAGAGAGAGATATGATTATATTCCTCTTGCTGTTTAGGACAAGAAATGAAGTGCTGCCTCTTTAATTGGCAAAAGCATGCAGTAAGAGCATACCTTTAATTTAGTGTTGGGATAGCTCACTTGCACCCTGGCTGTTGTCTTATTGGAGAGGGCAGCCTGCCTCAGATCCTCTAGTACTGAAATAATATCATCCAGCACGCATTTCTTATCCTGATTTCTCAACACACACAGATGGGAAAAAGTATAATTATAGCCTTTGTAGTTCACCTTCATTTCCAGCACGGCTCGGTGGATCTGCAGGATCACATCAGCCTGATGCAAAATATTGCCTCCGGGTTTGGAGAGGAGAATCACCCTGCCATACCTCCCCGGGGTGTGCAAGTCCGAATACAGCTGGCTTTTGGATTGATCGAGGGAGAACAGGCTGCTGGCTAAGCTCCTCTCGATCTTGGCCAGGCTGTGGCTGGGGGCTACCAGGCTCTCCAGGTCAGTGTCAGGCTGGAAGCGGTTGAGCAGGCTGAAGCCGAAGATGATGGTCAGGACTGCGGGCACAGTGAGGAAAAACACCGGATGCCTGCTCACGAATAAGCCCAGCTTGTAGAAAAACGACTGGAGCCCTCTGTGTATCACCTGCCGCAGCATCCTCCACCAGATCCAGCCTGCAGATGCTCCTGGCCGTCTTAGAAAGCACATGTGACATGTGTAGCTCCTTACCCCTTCCTGTCAGTTTCCTTTTCTCTCTCCCTCTCTCTCTCTCTACTACTCCTTTAAAAGACTGCAGCAAGTTGCAGCAAGACAGCCAAATATTGATCAATGGGGTGTGTGTGTGCGAGCGTGCGGTGTGTGTGTGGAAGGGACCGGGCAGAGCAGGGAGGAGGGGGGTCCTTGCTTTTCTCCTTTTTTTTCCCTCGCTCTTTTTCCCCTCCTCCCTCCCCGTAGCCAACGAGCAGCTCCCCCCGCCCGCCGGGGGCCCCCCTCTCGCCGCCGCTGCTCGGGCATTGCACCGGGAGCGCTGCCGGCTCCGCAGTGCCCGCTCCGAGCCGAGCCCCGCTTCCCCGGGCGGGCTGGATGCGAGCGGCCCCCCCCCACCCCCCCCGCTGCAAAGCGCCGCTGCCCTCCTCCCTCCTTCCCTTCCCTCCCTCCCTCCCTCCCTCCCTCCCTCCCTCCGCACACACACGCGTGGGGAATTGGCTGGGGCGGGAGGATGATGCTGCATTTTAACATCCCCCGATCCCTCCCTCGTCCCCCCCTCCGGTCCATCCCTACCGGCTGCCCCGGGCACCCCCCGCTCCCCTTCCCTTGGGGGAAGGCTTTGAGCGGGGATTTTGCGGAGCAGCAGCCTCCCCGAGCCCCGTTCCCACGGCTGCTGCATTCCCCCGCGGCACTGCCCCGAGATGCACAGCCCCGCATCGCCACCTCTTCCCTTTCATCCCTCGTTTGCAGCCCGAGGTCGCCCGCGTGGAGCCGCCCCGTGGTGCTGTGAGGGGAACGGGGACTCCGGGAGAGGTGTGGGGTAAAGGGCACGAGGTGCCCAGCTGCTGCCTTCTGCAGCCCGACCGCCTGGCACCTCTGCCCTGGTCAGCAGCCCTGCGAGCAGTGACCTAGCAGCTCCAGGACAGGGTTCCTGATCCCCCTCCAGCTGGAAAAGACGTTTTTCAAGCAAAGCCACCAGCAGCCCATTACATAAGAGCAGAGAAATTCTGCAGCTCCCAGGACCGAGGGAGAGCAGCAGAGAAATGTATGCGTTTGCAATAGGAGGGCTGCCCACCAACTCTCCAAGCTCTGCTTCTCCAGGAGCTATGGCCAAAGCTGCCTGGGACAGCAGATCCAACCCTGACAGCCCTGACAGCCCAGCAGGAAAGGCAGGAGAAAAGGCAGGATTGAGTGCAGGAACTTTATATTTAAATCATAAGTCTAAGTTGTAGGAATATAATCCAGAACAATGCTCTTCAGTATGGAATCTCTGCTTGGTGCATCCCTCCCATCCAATTCCTGATATATTTTAGGTAGTACTGTCAAGCAGGAATTGATTTCTTTGGGGGATTGGACCAACGATGTGCAAAGCCTCAGAGAGCAAGGTTTTGCCATAATAAACCCCAATTGAAACAAGGACAGGAAGAGTGAAAACAGGGCAACTAGAGAACTAGAGCTTGTCACAGTACACACTGCCCAAGAAAAGCAGCAGGTTGAGCTCAGCTTTCAAATGATCATTGGTGTTTTGGAGAAAAAAACAGCTTATTTCAGCAATTCCTTTCATCCTGACACCTCCACCTCCACCTCCCATACTTCTGTGCAAATGGACAGGACATACACAGAACAGCCCATCTTCGAGGGCTGCGGGGCTTGCATTCAGTCAGAGCCAACAATCCAGTGACACTGGGAGCCTGAGGTCCTGCAGAAGCCTGGAATGATGACATTCTTCCACGTGAATGCAATCGTGAGGCCAGGAGCAATGGTTTGGAAACTCTCCTTACTCAAGTCAATGATTCACAACTGCCTTGGTAAAACTGGTTTAGTTTTTTAAAGATTTGATTGGTTTCTGCTAGCACATCATGCCTTTCCAATTCAGGCTGCTTTTATTTAGTGGCCTAGATACTGCTGATCTGGAGGTTCTTGCTGGCGTTCTTACAGAGAGCAGGAAGGAGAAGCCGGAGGAGGGAAAATCCGTACAAAAGGCCCTCTCAGCCTCCTGCTTCCTCAGCTTGAGGCACTGCCTGTGATGGAAATCTGCCCCAGGAAATGCTAAGCTCCATTGGTACAAATTACAGCTCTCTGTCTATTTTATGGTGCACTTATGCCAATGGTTGAGTGCTCCCAGTGAATAAAGTCTGAATGTAAAGGCTTTATTGAGCCTTTGTACTTACACACATGAGCGAGACCTTGAGTGGAAACTTGGAACCTGATTATGAGAGCCTTGGACAGAGTATGGCGTCGTGTCACAGCACATCCCAAGCTGGAAGGGACCCCCAGAGATCACAAGTCCAACCCCAGCCCCACACAGCACCCCCAGCCCCGTCCCGCGGTGTCCCAGCTCCCTTTGGCAGCTGGGGGCCGTGCCCACCGCCCTGGGGAGCTGTGCCGTGCCCACCACCCTCCGGGCACAGCCTGCCCTCGGCCCGGCCTCCCCCGCCGCAGCTCGGTGCGTCCCTCAGCCCGTCGCCGCCACAGAGCAGAGCTCAGCGCTGCCCTCCGCTCCCTGTGAGGAGCTGCAGCCGCCATCAGGCCTCCGCTCCGCCTGCTCCGCTCTGGGCCCACCAGCCCGAGGCTCCCAGCCGCCCCGCACACCCCTGCTCCTACAGGCCCTTCCCCATCTCTGCAGCCCTCCTTTTGATGCTCTCTGATAGTTTCCGCTGTCATAAAACTGTGGTGCCCAAATCTGCATCCAGGGCTGGAGGTGAGGCTGCACAGTGCAGAGCAGAATGGGATAACCCCCTTTCTTTAACCAGCTTGAAGTGCTAAAATGTTTCTAAAAGATGTATCTGCAAATATCTCAGTGTGGGTGCTACTGGCAGGAAAATCCTCCTGACGGCTCCAGCAGAGCTTTGCAGTCTGCCCAGAGCTCTGTGCCCGTGCCCTATGTGGTGTTGGCAACTGGCTCAGCTGCAATCACACCTGATTGCCACAGCCTTGCCTGGTAAGCTCTCCCTAGCACTCATTATTTCTCTGGATGTTGGCCAGATCTTCCTGTTAATCACAGGGGGAGTTCAGGAGCCCAACACAAGCAATCCAGATCACCCTGGGAGGAGAAGGGCCTTCTGGTGTCTAAATAAGATATCACAAAGATGTGTTTTTTTCTCTGTAGCTTCTCAGGGTGCTGCCAGGACACTGCCCTGCAGGAACACCCTGATGTGGCAGCACTGAATCACTGATCATACAAAGGGAGGGCAGAGGAAGATGGGTGGTGAGAGCTGTGAATGAGTGCGTGCTGGTTCCTTCCTGGAAAAGGAAGCAAAGTGCTATTGACAAACACTGACTATGGGTCTTGCCCGTCCCATGGACAGCAACAAAGTGTGATCTGGCATCTGTACCGCACAGGTAATACAGATGATGAAATGACCATTGCGTTGTGCTGGTCATCTTAAATGGCAAAATCCATAGAGGATCTAAAAAGTCAGTTTGAAGTATGTCTCAGAAAGAAGTAGGGCATCAACGCCTATTCTGAGTGCAGCACTGGGATATGCTGATATTTATACCTACCCGAGTGTCATCCTATGAATCCTCTGTAAATGAAGAATACCTGACATGTCAGGATGCTAGCTGGGGAGCTGAGTGTTGGGCAGAGTCAGGAGTCCAGAGAATCACAGAATCATACCCAGGGTGGGAAAAGACCTCCAAGGTCATCCAGTCCAATCGTCTGCCTACCAACAATATTTCCTCACCAAACCATGTCCCATACTACCACATCTACAAGCTTATGGAACATCTCCATGGATGATGATGACTCCACCACTTCCCGGGGCAGCCAATTCCAGCACCTCACCACTCTCTGGGAGAAGAAATTTTTCCTAACGTCCCACCTGAATACTCTCAGAAATATTTGAAACAAGGCTCAGCTTGGAAAACTGCAGTTCTTGCTAGAGAAAATAATTGGAGATGCCTACTTACGGAAAGGATGCAACTGTAGGAACAGATCATTCTGTACATATAATAACAATAATAATAAAAAGATGTTGCAGTACAGGGATAGAGAGACATGAGTTGGAAAAAACATTATGTAGCAGAAAGGCAACACAATACAAATTTACTTGCAAATGTACTCTATAACATAGCTGTGCTGATAGATACAGAAGAAAGAAGAGTCCGATACCCAAGAGTGAGATGGCAGTATGTATGTTGATTCACAAGCAAGGAAATACACAAACAGTCCTAGTGATTTTAAGTTGTTGTGGTTTAATAGCAGGGTGGATACAGGAACAGTTAAAGGTAATATAAGACATTAAATAGTGTCATTAATTACAATAACCACAAAGGCTGCCTATATGTGTGTTGGTAAAAGAAGCTTGAGACAGACTGCTAGTTTTGTGTCCATACACTTACATGATTTTCTGTTTCAGCATTACTACAAAAGTTTCATTCCTTCAGTCAAGTATAATTTCCTTAGGTGGGTGCCTACAGGGCAGCTGGTGAAACTGCTGAAGTAACAACAGCATCCTCATATAAGGAATAATGCCAGCCCAGGGATTTCAAGTGTTTATATTGGTTGAATAAAGTTAGAGAGCAATTTAACACATGAAAATTATTTTGAAAAACATTGTGCTTAAAACTGCTTCATTCTGTACATAGATTGGATTGTTTTGTCTCTCCTAGAATATAGCTGTAGTTTTGAAAAGCAAAAGCTGTGACAGGGGAAGTTTAGGTTGGATATGAGGAGGAAGTTTTTGAGCCAGAGGGTGGTGAGGCACTGGAACAGGTTGCCCAAGGAGGCTGTGGATGCCCCATCCCTGCAGGCATTCAAGGCCAGGCTGGATGTGGCTCTGGGCAGCCTGGGCTGCTGGTTGGCGACCTGCACACAGCAGGGGGTTGGAACTGGGTGAGTACTGTGGGCCTTTGCAACCCAGGCCGTTCTGTGGTTCTATGATTCTATGAAAACTGTCAATTCAAAAATCAAGCTATTGAGAAGTGAGTTTAAATACTTTTTTTGATGGTGAATTATCTAAAGGTTTTTTGTAATCACATTTTCCTCCTGTTTAGTGTTGGTTTGTTAGGGTTTTTTGTTTGTTTGTTTGTTTGGTTTTTGGTGGGCAGCAGACAGTTAAGTAATATCTTAATGTGGGTGGGGA